ATGTATTCATCTGGTAGGCATTGCTCTGCCTTTGTGAATGAGTGTTATTGAAAGTTTTGCCCTATCACCAAACTCCGTTGTTTGTGCAAATAGTGTCCAGTCACTTAAGAGTTTGATATGTACAAGTCAACAATTCATGTATTGTGCTTTGAAGCTGGCCAATACTTGTATGATTTCCTTTTCCCAATAATGTTTTCAATTCTATTCTATTGTCTAAATGAATGGCACTAGCAATAGAATTACCTTATACCCCAGGGGGATGCTTTATATTGTTCTCTATCATTAAATGACAACGATGGATCTTAAGTGAACCAGAGACATATATAAACCATAGATATATGAATGACTTGGGGCTCATACTTAATTCTAGCCCCAATCTAAGAACAATTAGTTGTTATGACATGGCCCTGTTCAATGTTCACCCTCATGAAGAGATCATTGAAGATGTGAGTTCTTTCACTGAGTGTGGTGAAGAAATCGGATGGTGCCCAGCTATTGGAAAGAGCAATGTCTGGAGTCATAAAAGCTTATCTTAACTCAAGCACCCATCTACAGGTGTCAACTAAATCCACATAGTTAACAAGCACACCAGCCTGTGTGATCCAAGGTTTGTAAACATAGAAATTGAAATCTAAAGGAGGGAATGGTATCAGAGCTTAAATTCTTAGCAACTGGTTTTCAGAAGGCTATGTATGGTGGTGGAAGCCCAAAATCTATTTTCAGGGTCCCCTCATGAATCCACCCTGACCATAGTTGAGAGGATGTGACTAGCCTGGCTATTAGACAGAGAGCAAAGAATAGTTGACTATGGCAGATGTAGTTAGACTAAAAAGATAATACCTTACCATTTTATCTCCTTTTTGACCCATTTTAAAGTTGTTTTGATTTTTAATGTTTTCTGCTTTCTTTTTTATTGAGATTTTTGTTTTGTCTAATCATCATTGTTAGTTTTTTTCTTATTTATTTTTCTGCTTTCTGTTTGTGCTTTGTATGACATTCGGTATATAAAATCCAGGATAGGTAGACTTGTGGACAGTAACTGGATTCATAATTGCCTAGGATCATGGCAGGGTGGATGGGTGGAAATGGAGAGATATCAAAAATGTATATGAAAAGAAAATGTTCTGAACTTTATTGTGATTATAAATGCACAAATTTTCTTAATATGATTGAATGATTAAATTGTATGATGTTTGGAGTATATGCTAATAAAACTATTTTTTAAAAACTAGGCTACAAGACAAAGGTTAAAACAGTGCTTAACTTTAATGGGACTATTAACTGATTGAGTTATGCCGGAAACATTTGATATCATAATCTGAGTGGTAAATACACAGTTGCAAGTACATGAGAAAATTCATCAAACTTTACACCTAAGTTTTGTGTGTTTAACTATGTCAGGGAAACACACACACACACACACACACATAGAGTACTTTCAAAAGACCTAAATCATCACATTCCCTTAAACAAGCTATTCCTGTTAAAATTTTATCTTAAAGAAAGAATTAGCTCACAAAAATGTTTGCACAAATATGATCAACACTGCATTATTAAAATAAATATGATAAATCTGCACAACAGGTTACATATTAATATTAAATAGCTGCTTAATAAAGCACATATGAACGAATTACACATTAGTTATCACAGGACTCAGAATTTTCATACTACTTCCATTTTCCATATGCTTGTGATAAAATTGAATTCTGAGAAATAATGTGATTTTCCCAATTCAACAATCTAGTAAGTGGCAACTATAACATTAGAACAAATTTGATATGACTCTAAAGCCAGCAAGTATTCTCCAGTTCAGATTAGTTTTGCAGCATTTATTGACAAGAACATCTGTAGTATCATGTTAAGTAAAAATGCAGTATATAGAACAGTTGTAGTTCAATTTCATTTCTGAAATGTGTACATATCCATATGAAAATTGATGCATTTGAATTATAGCTTTGGTAAAGAATATTGACTCTACTATGGACTTCAAGAACAAATAAATCTGTCTTAGAAAAAGTACAGCCAGAATGCTCCTTAGAAGCAAGGATGGCAAGATTTTATCTCCCGTACTTTGGACATATTACCAGAAGGGACAAGAAAAAGCATATCATGCTTAGTAGAGGGCCAGCAATAAAGGGGAAGAACCTCAAGAAGCTAGATTAAGCACGGTGTCAGCACCAATGGGCTCAAATGTAGAAATGACTGTGAGGATGCAGCAGGACCAGGCAGTTAGTTATCTTCTGTCAGGTCTCTAGGAGGCCGAACAGACTAGACAGCACCCAACAACCACAATACAGATATGGACACATTTTTAATGGGGGAAATTACAGAACTACAGATGCAAAAATGTTCATCAAAGTTACCTCTCAGGCATTTGTGGGTATTTTTCTTTTCAAAATACATATCCACAAATGTCTGAGAGATAACCTTGATTAGCATTGTAATTGTTTTCTTTCTTTTCTTGGCACAGGAGCCAGGGTGATGTATGGGTTGCATGTTGAGCTGTTAACCAAAAGGTCAGCAGTTCAAAAACACCAGCTGCTCTGCAGGAAAAAAGAAAAGACGCTATGCCTCCCTTAGGGATTTGCAATGTCAAAAACGGAGAAGGGCAGCTCTTCTCTGTCCATAGAAGTCAGAAAGGACTGGATGGCAGTGTTTTCTTAATTGGTGCTTCACTTTATGTTTACTGTGCTACAATGATTTTATTTTATGCGCTAAAAATATAAATCCACGAGACCAATTACCAAGCTGTAAACCACAATGTAGCACCTATTTTATTCTAAACATGGCTTTCATTTGCCTCACACATTTAAAAATAAATAGATAAGGCAGATTGCTTATATATTTATATTCCACAAACACTTCTTAATTGCCTACTATGTTGTAGGCACTGCCTTGGGTGCTACTCTGTAGGTATAAGTACACAAATGATTTTACATCAGGGGACCTCTATTCTTACTTTCTGCTCCTACATATGCTGCAAAGGATAACTATTCTCCCTCCCACACCTTGATCACAACTATATGCATTTAGATTTTAAATCTCAGCTCTATTATTGAATTCAATTAAATACCTAGATATTAAAGGAATATCTAACATGCCCTCAGAAAGGGAACATGGAAGATATGGGTGCTAGAGCAAAACATAGCAAAGAAATTAGATGGTGCTCCGTTATCTGATAAAATGGCACCTGAGGTCTTAAAAGCTTGTCTCCAAACAAGCAGCCATCTAAGTGAAACATCAAATCCACACAGAAGAAGCAGACCATCCTCGGTCACGGAAGGAGTGGAATCCATATAACCCAAAGTCAAAGCAGGGATCAGTATCAGAGCTGAAATTGTGAGAATCCAGTATGCAGAAGCCAATGGATGATAGTGGGAGCCCAAGACCCATTGGTGGAACTACATAGGAAATAAGCCTCTGGAGAACTCCTCCTGCCTAAAATTGAGGGTTGGGAAGAAAGTGGTCACTAAACAGAGTGCTTGGGAAAGATGAGTGTAGAAGATCAAAGGCATGAATGTGACTGGCACAGTTAAAACGTTGCCAGTAGATTCCCCCCTATGATGCAGGCTGAACCTGAGTTGGGTTCCAAAATTTTCTGTATTTTTGGTTTGTATTGCTTTGTTCGGTTTTTGTTTGTTCCTATTAGAGTATATCTCAGAGGTGGTATGTCAATGGAGGTCACTCTCTTGAAGCTGTGATATATGCTTTTCTATTTGGGGGTATTTGAAACTCAGGATTAATGAACCTATAGGGACAGCGAGTCGAATAAGAGGTTAGGGGGCAGGTGGGTCGAGTGGTGGTAGTTGGGTAAAATGGAGTCGATTTCAAGGAGTCCATGTAGAAAAATATTGTTTGGAAACTGATACTGGTAACAATTGTTCCTGGACCCACTCACCACCACCAAATTCACTATTTGCTATATAGTCCTTCTGGAATCTTTACTTTACCTGCATCTGTTATCCCCTTTCTGAAAGGCTGGGTTGGCCTCCTCCTCCTAACCCTCTCTCTTAGTGCAAGACCACAAAATGATGTGATTTTAGAACCCATTGGCCCCGAATGTTCTCTCCTCCATCTGGCCACCAAGCTATATATCTTATGTCTAATTTTGAAAGAAAACACTGATGGCTTGATCAAAACCAGCTGTGTGCCTGTCCCTTAAGAAAGGGAAGAGTATTCTCTTGCAGCAGCTTGGTGCCAAGAGAGATGTTGGGTAAAATGAGTATCAAAACCCTCACCTCTTTAATGAGAGAAAGATGCAGCTGACTTTGGTAATGAGTGTTAAAAAAGACTAACTGTTGCCTGGCATCACTGAAAATAATCATCACTGGCATTGTTTGTAAGGATAGTACTAAACAATGGTTTTAAAAATAATTATAAACAGGAAAACCTAAAGTAAACCAAGCCTACTACCACAGAGTCAAAAAAACACCACTATAACTCGAGTGACTCACAATACTGATTAGACTCTAAAGAAAACAAATATTGAGCAGAGCTATTTACTAACAATACCTAGCAGTAAAACTGTGGTCACCAAAGTATGAGTTTGATTTAATAGCATAAACGACCTGTGTTCATATATGCTGCCCTCGTGCTGTTTGGCAGTACGTTTATCTGACAAAAAAAATGTGTTGCTGTTTATTAGATCCAATTTTTCACACAACGCCACAAACCTCCTCATAATTCAAGCATCAATTTTGAGCGCTGGAGTGATGGTCAAGGAGCTGTGATTGCCGGACGTGTCGGAATCACCCCATTTCAGATGATGGTAGCCAACAAGTCTGTTACCGTTGCACTAGACGTTAGCCTGCGGCAGCCGGACAGCAGACACCCCAGCACCCGGGAGGGGCCGACGGCAGCCGTCACCGGAAGAGCGTGGTGTTCAGGAACCGGAACAAAGCTCGCCGGAAACATCATCACAAGTGCTTCTGCGTGGTCGTCTGGACAACCTGCGCACAGCTTCAGGGAACGTAGTCCATCCAGGGTCAACGCAAGAAATGGAAAAATCTCTAGAACAGGCGTCGGGCATCTCTTTGGGCTCAGAAACTACAGCCGGGCCAACTGCCGCCCATACTGATGATCAGGAAGATGGCAACCGGGCAAAGCAGGCAGAAGGGGAAGCACTTTTCCAAACTGGTCAGGAAGTTGATGACCAAAGAATTTACGAAAACACTGGATCCAGAACATCTGTTCATACCTACCGCAAATCATTGATTCTTGATGAAACTGATGACCATGGAGCATCTGGTAAGGTTGACCAAAGAACGCTTGACCACAGGGCATCTAGACAATTTGAATCTGATTATGTGGGATATGAACAGGATGGCAAGATATCCAGCCAGGCTGACAGAAGAACTTCTGAACAGATTGCCCACAGGTTGTCCAGCCAGGCTGACCCAAAAACTTATGAACAGATTGCCCACAGGTTGTCCAGCCAGGCTGACCCAGAAGCTTATAAACAGGTTGACCACAGATTGTCCGTCCAGGCTGACCAAAAAACCAATGAACAGACTGACCCCAGATTGTCAGGCCTGATTGACAGAAACTTTTATGAACAGATTGACCGCAGATTGTCCAGCCAGGCTGACTACAAAGCCTATGACCAGACAGACCACAGATTGTCTGGCCGGGTTGACAGAAAAAGTTATGAACAGACTGGCCACAGATTGTCTACTGTGCCTGAGCATGGAATTTCTCAACAGATTGACCAGAGATTGTCCATCTCAACTGACCGAAGTACTTCTCAACAGACTGTCCAGAGATTGTCCATCTCAACTGACCGAAGACCTTCAGAACAGACTGGCCAGAGACCGTCCATCTCAACTGACCAAAGACCTTCAGAACAGACTGGCCAGAGAC